ACAACTTTATCTTTCTGTTTCAAAAATCTGTTTAAACTTTATCCTCTCAAGAGCCACATGATTTGACATATTTCCTTTTTCTTGGCAATTTAGGTGTACTACAACCCAGTAGCAAAGATTCTGCTGCATTGTCATCAGTATTTTTACCTCTTCTGTCTAAATTTAGCCAGTTATCCATAACTGCAAATATTTTTGTTCTAAAATATAAACGTTGCTAATAATTTCTCAAATAAATACTAGCTTTAGTGCATGAAATTTCATTTATTTGTGCTTCATTTTAAAAATTGATGTTCATACTTAGCTACACATACAGAAGTGATGGTGGAAAAAAATTATTAAAGGGCTTTTGTCTTTACATACTGCAGTTAAACTCTTATGTTTCTGTAAAAGAGGGAGATAACAATAATTTTTAAAATCAAGCATTCTAACACAATACCACCCAAAGATATACTAATCTGATACTTACATGCTGAGGAATGAAGGTGGGAGAATAATAAGTCTTTATTTTCTGTAATTAAACTATTATGTTTATGTAAGAGCAGAAAACTTTGCATATAGAGTAAAAACACTGCACTTGATCACATAGAATAGTGTAGGATCTGAGCCTAGGTGTTTTTGGCAGAGGGTGTTGGCATCACATGGTGCGATGGTATGTACAGTGCAAAGGGTGCATGTTGTCTGTTCAAAACCAAGGCTGAAGTCGTGTGATGCGACATTGGCAAGCGCTGCCAGAAACACTTTGGATTCCTGATGCATTTGATTGTGAATGTATCTTGGTTTTTGTGCACTCAGGAACCTTTTACTGTTGCCAGATTTTTTTGTGACCTTCACATTCACTTATGTGACCCCACATGGGGTGGCAACCCACAGTTTAAGAAGCCCTGCTGTAACATATGTTGTAAGGAGAGCAGCTTCTCATGCATTACATTGTGAACTGAATTGAAAGAAAAAAAAGGCTAAAAAGAAAAATATTTGGAAAATGTTACGTTATTTTATCAGCCCTGCTGATAATGTGTCCTAATATTCTGAAGTAATGCAATTGTAGAAACTGGAAACTTCCGGTGTGCCTATGTAGTCTAGAGGAAGTTTCATCTACAGTTATTTGGCTATCACTTCAGAAAATTGTAAAATTATTGGTAAAGTCATCAGGGTTTATTGTGATAAGGTTAAAAACTATTACATATTTACATGGGTATATTTTCAGAGGAAAACTGATCGTTGATTACTGTGTGGGAAAAGTTACAAAAGGGGGCAGTTAGTGCAGTGGATAGAGAGCACTGGCCCTGAAGTCAGGAGGGCCTGAGTTCAAGTCTGGCCTCAGACCAAACACTTCATACTTACTAACTGTGTGAACTTGGGCAAGTCACTTAACCCCAATTGCCTAAAAAAACCAAAGATACAAAGAAAAAAACTTTATGAAATGTCCTTATTTGTCAACTTTCAAGGTTTCTTGGGACCATCTAGTCACAAACGCTTATCAGTCCTGTAGGAGAGTTTGCTGTGTTGTGCAATTCTTGCTGAGTAAATGGGTTATAAACATTTCTTCCTTGAAATGGGGGGTGAAATTGGATGAAATTGTCAAACTTGCTCATAATGTAGTATAGGTTTCTTCTCAATTTATTTGTCAATTACTTGTGGAAGTGATTAAGGTCTGCCTGGACCGGTGTATGTTGAAGTCATCGCTTGAACCCTCTTAATCTGAACAGGAGCCAGACTCATAAATTTTATTTTTTATACGTGTTAATATCCCTGAAGTGATGGATATCTTTTCGTCTGGAGGTTTACAAAAATTGGCCACTGTCATTTTTCTTTCTAGGTGTTTGAGTAAACTATCCTATATTCATTGTCTAGGAGAAATTACAGATTATAATTATTCATTGTGTTTATACAGGATAAGCTTAAACTGGAGGAGAAGTAGAATGAGCAGAAGGATAGGATGTTATGTGATTTTGGGAAAGCCTGCTACTTTTGCTTGATAAACAGATTTATTGTGACAGCATGAGAGTAGGTTACATACATCTCTAACACTATTAGTGTAGCTCGCTATCTAAGGTAAAATCTTATGGGACTGTAATTGATAGTAGTGAGAGAAGTGATTTTTTCTATTATATTGATTATTGACTATTAAGCTAGGATTAAGGTTTTTTTCTCTTTATTTCCTCATTAAGGGAACAGGCCCTGTAGGCCAGTCAGTCTCTGAAAGACATTGCTAATGGATGAGATTGCCCAGATCCTCCAGGAAAATGCTCCTAAGTCTGGGGCAGGATCCTACCCAACTAGAAGATCTTACTGCAGTTTAGAGTGTGAGCAGAGTCTAATGTAGGGGAATCACAGCCCTAAAGCCCTTGCAGGGCCTCCTTGGAGTATAGGTAATACAGCTCGTGAAGGAGAAAACCAACCTGGATATTTTCTGGATGTTTGCTTTGTCCAGATTTCTGGAGGCAGTTGAGTCTCCTGATCAAGCCATGTTCTGAGCAGGAGGAGATAAAGGCTTTCAGCCCACCTCCTCATTTGAAAGTTTACCCCTTAACAATCACCATGATTTTCACCTGGCAGGGGAATGACCTGCCTAAAGTTATTTAAGCATTCAATGGTTTTGTCTTTGGTTACCAAGAGAACCCACTGACCATCAATTTCTTGCTTATCAGCTAGCCTAACTAATACACTGGTTATTGATTACCCAGAAACTCTGTCTCTCACTCTTTTCATTCATCTCAGTAATCTGAGCCTGATTCCAGGTATAATCATCAAGAAATGTTATTGAGGCAAAACTACATAACGCCAGCAGGCCTCCAGGGATGAGTTCTGTGAACTTCAGGTGGAGTTCTGTTGTCCCAAGGGAATCTGGGAGAGTGACTTCTGGCATGGCCTGAGGTAGGACTCCCCTAACTCAATTTCACCAGTATGAAAATCTTCCCACGTGTCTGATTCTAAGCCTGGTTGTGACATGTGGCTGACACCACTGCCTGCTTATGTGACTCTAACCAAGCTTTGACATCAAGTTAGGGGAGTATGTTCACCTTAGTGTAACTATGTGCCTGTTTTTCCTTTTATGGCAAATTCCTATAACCATGGTGGCTAGTCAGTAGAGGAGATGAAGACAATGTTAAATCTTTATCTTATAGACTGGAGTGTACTTAAACTACTATAATAAGATGCAGGTGTGGAAGAGCTCTACAATTCAGCCTGGAAGTATAGTCCTTTCCATATCCTACACAACTAAGAAGATGAGTACTTGGGCTTGTCATTTGCCCACTATTAGCTATGTACGCAGGTATAAGATGAGGTCCTTGAACTCTCAGAGTATTATGGAAATGGTTAAGCAATGTTGTAGCAGTTTTCCCATATTATGCCTATTATAAAATAAGAGATACACACATACACACACAAAAAAGAAAAATACTGAAAGTAGGAAAAAGATGCTTCCACTGGCAATCAGAGCTCATCAGTTCACACTGGACAGGGAGAGAATTTTTCATCACCTTTTGGCATTGTTTTTTATCAGAGTAGCTTCATCTTTCAAACTGATCATCATACAAATATTTCTGTGACTGTGTACAGTGTCTTCTGGATTCTCCTCCATACCTTTTGCATCAATTCACAGAAAATTTTACAAGTTTTTCTGGAAAAAGATCTGCTCATTTCTAATATCACATTGAGTCAGAGTTGTCCTAATCTAATTAGTTGCTCATTTCCCGATCTTCTGCTCTCTTTGCTTGCCTCTTCCCTCATCAGCTCCATCCTTTCCTGAAGTCAGAATTCCCATTTAAAAATTTCCAAGGGCTAATTCTTCAAAGATGTAAGAATTGACTTGGTGGTTATGGGACATACAAGGAGCAAAGGGAATTGTGGCCACCTCCCAAACTGCCCTGCTCAGAAGACCATCTCTCATGGGGATCAGAAGTGAGGGACTAGAGAGGGCGTATAAGGAATGAATGCCCAGCTCCCTTGGTGCACACAAATCTTTAAGGGAATCAGAGAAAGGTGGTCACTGCAGGTTGGAGTCATTGGGAAGAACTGAGTGAGCTGGTCCAACCTGATACATTACATCTGAAAAAGGTGGAGGTGTCAGTCTCTTGACCCCCTTCTCCTAGTTGGAATTAGTCTTTCCCTCCTCATAGTTCTTAGAACTGTATCTGGACCTCTCCTTTGTCCTTGTTAGAACATAGCATTTACAGTCAAAGACCTGGGGTCAACTGTGAGCTCTGCTTAAGGCATTCATTTAAGCTCTGTGCCTCTGTTTCTCCATCTGCCAAATTAGAGGGCTGCACGACATCACCTTTAAGGTAACTTACACCATCTAGGAGACTTGGGGAGAAACCTTGACTGCAGAGGCCATATGGGAAGGTGGCAAGAGCCTGGAGGGTGAGAGAGAATGAGGGCAATGGCAGCCATCGGGTGCTTAAAGGGATGAGCATCTAAAGAAAGGTATTGGTCAGGAGAGTAGAAAGTTAGGTCACTGTCTAAGAAGAGAGCATTGCTAGGGAAATGTTGATAGGACCTGATAATTTGATTTCCTAGCCTAGTGGTGCCTTCTATGGAGACAAGGTCAGATGTGGTTTCTGAAAGGCCAATAGACAATAAGCAGAGGAAACTTTCCATGAGGGACTTTGGATTGGAAGAGGACATAGTTTAGACCTCATGAGATCTGGTGGCCAGAGATATTGGCCCAGCCTCCAGGAGGAGGAACTACTGATGGTACAGCTGATGTCTCTCCCTCAGTTTGCATCACATGGACCTCCTACTTAATTTTAATGGATTCTCCTGCATGTGGGATGCCTCCACCATTTTGTCTAGATTTGCAGATAGATGACATCTCAAAATTTGTGGAAGATCTTAGTTTATTTAGACATATGAAGCTGTGAGGAAGAGGGGTAAAAGAAGGACATGAAAGCAGGAGTCTATGGAACCAGACAAGTTCTCCAAAGTAGGTAACATGAATGTTAGCTCTACAAAGAAGGTAACATAAATGCCTTGTGTTTTTCAGAAAATTAATGTCTTTATTGCATCTGGATGTGCATGTGGGGAAAGAAATACAGAGATGGGGGGAAGAATTGTGGGGGTTCATGTGGGTAGGGAAATGGAGATGGACTCATTAAGCATGGATTTGGAGGGTGGTATTCATAGGTCCTTGGATTCTGGATACAGGATATTGGGGTGTAGGAGATCTCCTGTGGAGCATGACCTTGGGGGGTGGTGTCAACTCTCTCCTCTTTGTGGGTTGAATGAAGAGTTGGCACAGTCTGTGGGGTCAATTCTGTTGGGTCTTGGGAACTGTTTCCAACTGGCTCTTCTTTGTCCGTGTTGATCAAAGGGGTATCCCTGGAGAGAATTCCCTGGGGTCTCTCTGGGGAGATACACTGACCTGCCTCCTCATCTTCCATGAGGTCAAAACCATCACTGCCTGAAGGGGAGTCTTGGGGTTCAAAATGGGGGTTGTTCTCAATAGTCCTTTGATGCAGGAAAGAAGGAACTTGTATGGACTGAAATGGGATAATCTGTGTTGGATATTGAAAGAAGGGCTCCTGGGTGAAGTTATTTGACATAAAGATGAGAGGACTTGGGGCCCATGGAATCTGCTCAGGTGTCCTTTGGGGGATGTTCCAGTTGTCCATTTGGTTTATGACATAGATAAAAGTATGGGGGGTCCTTGAAATTAGCTGTGGTGGCTCCTGGAGGCTGTTCATGGCTGTCCCACTAGTCTCTCCTTCATCAATGATGGGGCCGTTCCACGTGATGACCTCAGGTAGCAGCTGACCCAGCCAGGGAGGAGTCCAAACTGGCATGGGGTTCAAACTGGGTGCCCCTATGAATATGACAAGTTGTAAAAGGATTGAAAAATCTCTTCCTAGAAGCTTTCTCCCAATGTCTCCTGTCTTTGTCATGGCTCCCAGGTGAGGCTTCAGATGGACCCTAGGGTCACATGTGTTATTAGCTAAGGCAGAGAGCCCTGAGAAAGACTACACCTAGATGGCCCCTTCTGGCGCTCTTCCATAAGAGGAGGGAGGGTAAGGCTTGGGCCCCCTATTGTATCCAGCCTGGACAATGTGGCCCTGCTCAATCCATTTTCCCAGTACTTACCTGAGGGTTCATAGCCTATGGGCTCAGCATCAGGGACTTCATGCCAGGCTTGGGAGAAAGGCAGGACTTTTTCCAAGCCCTCATGAAATGGGCAGGGGATGGGTCCACCCGGCCTTCTCTGGTTGGCCTCCTGGATATAATAGTATAAGTCTTCCAAGGCCTGCATCATGTCCCGACACTGTACCCAGGTTCGCTTCACACCCTCTTTGTTTAGCCTATTGGCTATAGACCTATAGATCACTCGGCGTCGCTTCCTGGCTCCCCTCATAGCCTGGATATCAGGGGAGGCCCACACATCCAGCAGGACTCGAATGCACTCTGGGCTCCATGTGTCCCCTTGTGGTACAAAAAGATGAGGCCTCAGGCTTCTTGCAGTGGCTAGAAGACACATGAAGAAATGGTTAGAATTCTGCAGAGCCCACACTGACAGTCACTGGATCCATCCCAGGACCTAGGTGCCAACCTCTATGATCCTGTGCATGGAGGGGGTTCCAGGAAGCAGGCCAGACATGCTGAGTCCAACCTGGAGCCCTGCTCTCCATTCCTGATAGCCCTTTGGACCTGCTGCCTTCTGCTTTGAGGTCCAACATGAAGAGAGTGAATTTGAGGTTGGATTTCACAGGCACCATTATACCCTTCCCTGGTCACTCTACACACAACTCTATGAGGTCACCAATGCCAGGATCATAAGGAGAGGGAATAAAAGCTGGGATCTCCTTGAAGGGCACTTCCCTCTGGCCTTGTCTTGTAGCTGGGAACCATTCCTACAAATAAAGGTCTCAGTGGTCTCAAGCTCTGAGGAGTCAAGGGACTTGCCTTGGCCTCTACAAACAGCAGGTTTCAGAGGCAGGCCCTGAAGCCAGGTCCTCCTGGCTAGGAGGCTGGCTTTCCTGCTCTCCAGCAAGGTTCTACCCAGTTGAGAAATGAATGAGTATGTTCATGCCAACGAGGGGATTGGGTTACTGCTCACCAGGTCCAGGATTGTACCTCTTCTACTCCCTGGCCTTCCATCCTTGGATGAGGAGGGAGGCGTCAATGGGAAGGTGAGGCAGGGGAATGGATGTATTTGGGAGGCAAGGAACCCAGCCTGTCCAAGGGCAGGGGATGGTACCTGAAGATTCTGCAGGAGAGTCTGGGCTTCCTGTTCTAGTCTCTGGCACCTCATGAATTGGGGAATTGATTTTCTGAAGCACGTTGGCTATTTTTCTCATTATCCTGCAAGGAAGACACAAGGCTTAAGTCTTCTCAGACACAGAAGATTCTCACTGACAAGTTTCAGTTTTTCCTGACATCCAGCTATCATATCCCTTTTGGCAACCACCACCCATGGCTCCCAGATCTGACTTCAGGGGATGAACAGGAATTGAATTCCTTTTCCAGGTCACTGTCTCTCCAATATGGGAAGATAGCTCTGTCTATACCAAGTTTTCTCCAAGGTAAAGATCCCCTGCTCCTTCAACTCCCATGACAGGATCTTGAGGTGCTGCCCCTGCTGGCTGCCCTCCTCTGGACACTCTCTGGCTTCTCAAGGCTAAAACATGGTGCCCACCACTGAACGTATTCTGCACAGGAACTCTGAGCAGGAAGGGCACACTCTTCTCTTGGGAATGCCCATGGACCTTTCCTCTTTTTAAGGAACTGAGAGAAAGACCTGGGGTAGGCCTTACAGGCCATCTGAGCCCAGCCTAGTCTACACCCTTCATTTACAGAAGAGGAAACTGAAGCTCAGAGAAAGCAAAGGACATTCCTGAGATCCTCTAGGGAGTAAGCTTCTGCCTAGGAATCCAAAGGCATTTTCACAGCCTCCCTAGCACTTCAGAGGTAGGAATGCCAAAGTGAGATGAGTCTTAAAGTGTCAGTGACATACCCAAGTGGTAAAAGTAGAATGTGGCAGAGTTAGGATGCACACCCAGGTCCTCTGCCTATGGCCCCAGGCCAAAGAATCACCAAATATTCCTTCTGGAGAGACTATTGGCTATGAACCAGTTCTCTAGATGAGGAGTCAGAGGCTCAAGAGGGGAAATGTCTGAGCAGGTAGTTCTTGGTAGACCCAGGTCTCCTGAGTCCTCCTCTGCTTTCAGGTCAGCAGACCCAGTCATTCAGGCCTTTAAGTAAATGCCACTGCTACTATTGCATCCCTGGGCTCTAGGCTAGGTCAGAACCTGAATGGAGATGAGCATTTCTCCATTTCCTTCTCGTAATCTCCCGCCCCAAGTCCCTCCAGCAGCAGATCTGCAATCCAACCATCTTCAACCCACTAACCCTCAGGAGACATAAGGGGGAGGGGTCCATTCAAGCCCAAGGAAGGCCATGGCCTTCCCCTTACCTTTTGCCTTTTGCCTTTAGCCTTTAGCCTTTAGCCTTTAGCCTTTAGCCTTTAGCCTTGGAGAAAGTGGCTGGAGCTGGTCCTGTTGAAGCTTCCTCCTCCAACCAGGAGTTTCTGACTGAGATCCCTCAGGCTTCTCTAGGCCCTATAAGTAGGTCTGAGAGGTGAGTTCTCACCTCATCTCAGCCATCCTATTCGCAGCCTGCTTGACACCTTAGCTAGTTAAAGACTAGCAGTCATGAACACAAAGACCCTTCCTAGTCCTGGACCTCTTTCCCTGCTCTGTGAGGATTAATCAGAAAAAGTACTTAAGAAAAAAAAAAGAAAAAGTATTTAAGGATCTGTAGAATTCTTTAAAAAACCAGGGAAGAGGGGTCTTCTTCAGGTGTTGGGAACATACTTAGCACCTAGTTGCCTATAAATGAATAAATCACCTTGGGAAACAATCTCATTAGCCCCCACTTGTCTATAAATCAGTCAATCAATCATTTCACAGCTCTTCCCTCATCAGTTCCTATCCTGCTAGGCATTGTAGTAGGGCTGGGCTCTCCTTACTCATTCCAGTCCAAGGGATCCTGCCCTCAGAGGGCTTCCTCTCTACATAGAGATTTATTTGGTGCAATACTTAGAGACTGCTGGCATGCAGCCCTGTGGGAACCATAGGACATTGACTGCAAGATGTTCAAGCTAAAGAGATCCTAAAACAGAGAATGTCAAAACTTTGAGTCTCTTGGGATGCAGCTTGGTGAGAACCATAGGACACTGATTGTAGGATGTTCAACCTAACAGTGCTTTTTCAACAGAGAATGTCAATTCTGAAAGAGACCTTAGCAAGTGAAGCTTAGAATGTCCCATATGGAGAGAACCATAGACCTTGAAGGCCAGGGTTAGAAACCACATGGTATATCAGAGCTAGAAGTGCTTTTCCAAAGCAGTAATCTACAACTCCATTAACTATGAAATCCTCACATGTTCAAAGCCCTTCATAACCTACCATCCACCTCTTACATCTTAGACACACACACACACACACACACACACACACACACACACACAGACAAACTACTTTTTCCCCAGTTCCTTGAACAACACACTCTCTCCTACTTTTGGACATTTCTTTGTTGTTGTTTTTTTAATTAGTTTATTTTGATTCATCAACAATCACTTCTATGAGCTTTTGAATTTTAAATTTTTCTCCCCCTCCCTCCCCACCTCCCTCCCTAAGATGGCATGAAATCTGATATGGGCTATACATATACATTCCTATTAAATATATTTTCACATTAGTGATGTTGTAAGGAAGAATTAGAACCAAAAGGAAGAACCACCAGAAAGAGGAAACAAAACAAAACAGAAGAAAAAAAAGAGCAAATAGTATGTTTCCATCTGCATTCAAACTCCACAGTTCTTTCTTTGAATGTGGATTGCATTTTCCCTCATGAGATCTTTGGAGATGTCTTAGATCCTTGCATTGCTGAGAAGGGCTAAGTCTATCGACATTAGTCATAGCACAATGTGGCTGTTATTGTGTACAACATTCTCCTGGTTCTGCTCACTTCACTCAGCATCGGTCCATACAAGTCTTTCCAGGTTTTCCTGAAGTCCACCTGCACATCATTTCTTATAGCACAATTGTATTCCATACATTCATATACCCCAACTTGTTCAGCCATTCCCCAATTGATAGGTATCCCCTCAATTTCTAATTCTTTGCCACTATAAAAAGCTATTATGAATATTTTTGTATTTTTTTTCCATTTGTATGATCTCTTTGGAATATAACTTTAGAAGTGCTATTGCTGGATCAAAAGGTATGCCCATTTTTATAGCCCTTTCAGCATAGTTCCAAATTACTCTCCAAAATCATTGGATCATTTCAACAAATCCACCAACAATGCATTAGTGTTCCAATTTTCCTACATCTTCTCCAACATTTATCATTTTCCTGTTCTATCATGTTAGCCAATCTGATAGGTGTGATGTGATACCTCAGAGTTGTTTTGATTTGCATTTCCCTAATCAATAGTGAATTAGAGCATTTTTCATATGACTATAGATGGTTTTAATATCTTCATGAGAACTGCCTGTTCATATCCTTTGACCATTTATCAATTGGAGAATGACTTGTATTCTTATAAATTTGACTTAATTCTCTATATATTTTAGAAATGAGGCCTTATCAGAGACACTGGTTGTAAAAATTCTTTCCCAATTTTCTACTTCCTTCTAATCTTGTTGTGTTGGCTTTGTTTGTGCAAAAACTTTTCAATTTAATGTAATCAAAATTATCCATTTTGCTTTCATAATGTTCTCTATCTCCTGTTTGGTCATGAATTCTTCTGTTCTCCATAATCTGATAGGTAAACTATTCCTTGCTCTCCCAGTTTGCTTATAGTATCAGCCTTTATATCTAAATCATGAACCCATTTTGACTTTATTTTGGTATATGTGTGAGATTTGGTCTATGCCTAGTTTCTGCCATACTCTTTTCCAGTTTTCCCAGCAGTTTTTTCAAAGAGTTCTTATCCCAGAAGCTGGGGTCTTTGGGTTTATCAAATAAGATTACTATAGTCATTGACTACTGTGTCTTATAAACCTATTCCACTGATCCACCACTCTATTTCTTAGCCAGTACCAAGCAGTTTTGATGATTGCTGCTTTATAACAATTTAAGATCTGGAATGCTAGGCCACCTTCCCTGCATTTCTTTTCATTAGTTCCTTGATATTCTGGACCTTTTGTTTCCAAATGAATCTTGTTATTATTTTGTCTCACTCCATAGAATAATTTTTAGTAGTTTGATTGGTATGGCACTGAATAAGTAAATTAGCTTAGGTAGAATTGTCATTTTTATTATATTAGCTCGGCCTACCCATGCGCAATTGATGTTTTTCCAATTATTTAGATCTGACTTTATTTGTATGAAAAGTGTTTTTTAATTGTGTTCATATAATTCCTGGGTTTGTTTCGAGAGTAGACTCCTAAATATTTTATAATGTCTACAGTAACTTTAAATGGAATTTCTCTTTCTAGCTCTTGCTGTTGGGCTTTGTTTATAATATGTAGAAATGCTGATGATTTGTGTGGGTTTATTTTATAGCCTGCAATTTTGCTAAAGTTGTTTATTATTTCCAGTAGTTTTTTACTTGATTCTCTAGGATTCTCTAAGTATATCATCATGCCATCTGCAAAGAGTGATAGCTTTGTTTCTTCTTTGCCTATTCTTCAATTTCTTTTTCTTCTCTTACCACTAAAGCTAATGTTTCCAGTACAGCGTTGAAGAACGGTGGTGATAATCCTTGTTTCACCCCCGACCTTATTGGAAAGGCTCTCGCTTGTACTTTTGGACATTTCTCCTGGCCGTCTCCCATGCCTAGAATGTTCTTCCTCCTTGTCTCTGCCTCCTGTAGATGCAGCTTCTTTGTGTACAGTTGTTTGCATGCCGTCTCCCCCAGGAGACTGAGTTTCTTGAGGACAGGAGCTGTCATTTGCCATTTTTGTGTGCCCGGAGCTTGGCACAGTGCCTGGCACATAGACATCTAATAAATGTTGCTTTGCTCACGTGTGTATATATTTGTGCATACATATACACACATACATACATATGCAAGCTCATGATGGGGGAAGCCAGTTCATTTGTTAGAATGTAAGGTTCTTGAGGGCCCTTTCATTTTTGTCTCTATCTCCAGCGGGCACTTAATGGATGTTTGTCTGATTGACTCATTTTACAGATGTGGAAACTGAGGCAAACAGTGTTAAGTGACTTGTCAAGGGGGACACAGCTAGGAAGGGAGACCAGATTTGACCTCAGAAAGATGAGTCTTCCTTACTCTAGACCTGGCATTCTATGCACTGTGGCGCCACCTAGCGGCCCCAATACAACTGTTGATTATGTCCCATCCCCATCCAAAGGCCTTGGGAGAATCAGGTCTGGCCATTTGGCCAAACCCGACAGCCACATAATCCAGCTCACATTTCTCCTTTTTCATCCTCCTTTCAGCTCCTGTAACAACAAGGAGATAGCCCTAGAATCCATTAATGAGCCAAGGAACTAATTAACGAGCAAGGATTTATTAAGTACTAAGTTATCTACTAAGTTCTAAGCACCCATTTATTGCCAGGAAATGTGCTAAGAGTTTTGGATTTGGGACAAAAATGAGGTGTCTGACATCCTGGAGGATGACGTCTAACTTGATTTCTCATGTAAATCTTGTAGTCTGATTGCCTTTGAAAGCTGAGGCCCTGGGGGTGGCTCCCCAATTTGATGATGAGATATAGGCCCAAATGAGCTCCTCTCCAGCTTTATCAAAACATACAGTTTTTTTTTTTAAAAGTTAAGTTAGAAGTTAGGAACAGAGGATCGGCCCCAGGTCAAAAAGTCAGGCTTCAGGGCCATCTGGTCCAGACTATAAGCAGCCCTCTACCTGTTTCCCCAATTACTTGTCATTCAGCCATTGCTGTGGCCTGGGAGAATTTGACTTCCTTTTGATTCTTTCCAAGGCCCAGGATGATTCCAAGAGGGCTGAGCAGAGCAGATTCGGAGACTCTGTACCAGAGAGGTGGCCCTTCCTGCTATACTGTTCTCTTTGCAAGAAAGGATGTCCTAAAATTGAGGCAAGCTGAGCTTTGCTCTTCCTTTCATTAGGACTTCTGGAATCCGGTAACCAGGGCAAGAGATCCCAGATGGAGCCTGAGATGTGGGAGAACTGGGTTTTGGCAGCGGCCAAGTGTGGTATGGGGATAAAACACAGCGAAACAACCTAGAATGTCTCCTACACCATGCATGGACTACCCTGAAGCGTGTTCTTAACTGGACTGCTGAGCTGGGCAGAAGAGCCACCCTCTTTGCATGTTTTGCCCCTGAGAGAGGGAACAAGCCATTCTCTCCCCTTAATGTTGAATCTTCTGATCCCAAGAGCTTGGCCCTAAATCCTCTCTCATAGGCGACTTTTGGGGGGTCAGTGGCTGGTTTTCTACTTCTCTTAAAGGAAAGACCAGCAACCAAGGTGATGATTGAAGGTCTGGCCATGTCACACATATGAACATGCCTCACTGAGCTCCAGGGGCCCACTACCTAATACCTCTAGAATCAAAGATAAACTCCTTTCTCTGGATTTTAAAGCTTTTCATAACCTGGACTATAACTGCATCCAACTGGATTCCAAGGGCCACACCTGAGGACCTAGAGGGCCACATGAGGCCTCAAGACTGAAGGTTCCCCACCCCCAACCTGGACTCTTCCTCCTTTACAGTCTTCTTCCTTATATCTTACTTTCTTCCATGTCCTCCATAATCCAGCTATACAATGATCCACTCAAAGTTGCTCAAACAAGATATCTCATCTCCTTCTTGGAATATTTTTTACCTACATTCATAATGGAAAGAAATGCTCATTTTCACCTGAGAGGTTAGTGAAAATCAAGATGAAATTTCTTCCTCCCATCCAAGTTCACAAACCCTTTGAAATCTATCCACAGACCCATTGAGAGTCTGTGGATTGCAGGTTAAAAATGTTTGCATTAGAGGCCTTTAAGTCAGCAAACTCCTGGGCAGGGGCAAAAGGTGAGAGATCTTCTGGGAGAGTAGACATTCTGCTCGGGTTGTGTGATCTTGGGCAAGTCATTGAAACTGCCAAGCCCCAGCTTCCATATCTGTCAAATGAGGGAGGTTGTACGAAATGAGTCCCTTCTCCAACATTCTGAGAAGCTGAGTTACCATGTCTTAGAAATCAACTCTCCTTAGAAACTCGCCTCCTGTCCTGTTGTACCCCAATCCACCCTCCAAAATGGCCCTCAAGGGGCAGCCAGATGGCACAGTGGATAAAGCTCCAGCCTTAGAGTCAGAGGACCTGAGTTCAAATCCGGCCTCAGACACTTGACACTTACTAGCTGTGTGACCCTGGGCAAGTCACTTAACCCCGGTTGCCTCACCAAACACAAAATGGCCCTCAAGAGACAGCCCCTGTAAAGATCATGCCCAGGAGGTGCCACTCAACCCTTAATGCCAATGGGATCCTGCCCCTTCACCCAGTTCTGAAACCCCTTTCCACCTCTTACTCTGAGAACTGTCATCACATCAGTCAATACTACCATTGCTCATGGAAAGGGCACGTCAATCAATTCCCTTTCCCTGTGATTTCCCTGACGAAAACCTCCTTCCCTGTCTGCCATTCAGGGTGTCCCAAAAATCAGAGTGCAGTTTAAAGCTATTAAAGCTTCCATCTGCACTAAGACTTTTGGGACACCCCGTATATAGTTGTCTCTCCCTATTGGAATGGAAGCTCCTGGAAGGCAATGGGTGTCTTGGTTTTCTATGTGTATCCCCAGCACTGGGCACAATGTTTGAAGCATAGTAAATGCTCAATAAATGACTTCTCATTCATTCATTCATTCTTCCTGTCTTGATAAAAGACACTTCCAAACAGAAGAACTGACCGTACATAAATGACTTTTTAAAAACTTTTTAATTAATAAAGAGGCAAGAAAGAAAGAAGTATTCATTTAAATAACTATTGCAGAAAAGGAGAGGTGGGCCAGCTCACAAGACCCACGTCTCCCAGAACAGGATTCCATGATGATATAAAAGAAATAAATTACTTCGTTCAATACTGTTTGGCATGACTGCATTTCCCACCCCACCCCCATCTTCTAAACACTCAAAACAGCCTCTTCCCTAAGCTTTAGGATGGGACTAGCAGGCCCCCTGTGTCACTCTGGGACTGGTGGAGGAGGCCTTGTTACTAAAGGCAGGGCAGCAAAACCTGCCCCGTCCCAGCCATCTCATTCCTACTCCCCTTCCCTTGGGACTGACTGGGAGAGAGGCCCACACTGCCCAGCCCCATCAGGTCAGGGTTTTCTCAGCCCTCCTGGAAGGGACCTGTTGTCCTAAAAGAGGCTGTGAGTGCAGGAGTGTGAGTGTGGGTGTCTGCCCAGGAGGAATTGTGGAGACTGTCAGTGCTGAGGGAGGAAGTGGGGCGGCTTCACAGAAGCCTTTGCTCTCTCCCTTCCCAAGATCCCCTGACTCTGAAGCGCTAGCATCCGACCAAGGTCTTCCCTTGGGGACATAGCTGAGTTAAGGCAGCCAAGCAGAGAGTCAAAATGTAACCGTTGGCTGCCCCTTCCAGAGCTGAAACGGGCAGGGGGTGGGTAGAGACCCAAAGTGAAGGGATGAAGGGGAGGAGGCATGCAGTGGGGGCAGGCCCACCCCTCCCCAGCAAAGCTCCTGGCTAAGTTGCATGGCTAGCTTAAAACAAAACAAAAAAAAAAAACCAAAGCACTCCCTCCCCTTTTGGTGCCCAAGCCAAGGCTGGCAGCTTCAGGTTAGCTACTTGGTGAAAAGGAAGCAGATCCCACACCACCCCCCCAGCCAGCAGGCTCCCTGCACCTACCTGGCATGGGGGGGAGGAGGGCAGTAATGCATGCACCAAGCTGGTGAATTGTTAGAGCCCCTTAGCTAGAACTTTCTGGAAGAGTCGCTCCCCAAAGCTGGTCTGAGTAGTGCACAAACAGTAGGGTTGGATCCCAGGGGGATTTCTTTGCCTTGGTCCTCCCCTTACAGCAGAGTACACAGAAGAGTGAGGGCCACGGGCCAAGAAAAGGGACAGGAGAGGCTGGAGTGATTGTGGATTGAAGGCCTGTTGGATTTGAGATGCCTGGGCTTCCCCCAATGCCCAGGGCCATAATCCTTGCACCCCCTGCTCTAGGATCTCTCCATCCCCACCCCCAGGGAGGGGCCGACTTCCCAAGTGAGAAGTTGGGAGCTCCAGCTAAGATTCTCCCATAGGGAGGCAGTTAAGTGCTAATCCAAGGGGTGAGGAGGTTGAGATGAGACAGCCAGAATGAGGGCACCCAAAGCCGCTTGGGGTTCCCACTATGATTGCATTTTGCTTCAGCGGGGTCTACTCTACCCTCCAGCCCTGAGGAAATAATGGAAATATCCTGGATCAACTGTGCCTAAAGAGCTGTGGAAGGGCTTCTCCTTGACTTCTTGGTCAAAGCTACCCACAAACGCAAGAGGCCAGTGTACCATCTTTCCCTAAACAATCTGATTATGTCTTAGAGACCGTGCAAAGCCTTGGTGTGATCCCCCTCCCTTCCTTTCCAAACAGGCCAGAGGATGACTGGCCAGAAGAGGAGGACAGCAAATGGGAGAAGTGCCCTTTTCCAATGCACTCTTGGTTGGGTGCGTTAGGAAGGGCTCCCCCAGCCTTCTTCCTCTCTGATTAGGAAGGGCCTCCAGAAATAGGGATGCAGCTTTCTGCTTCTGGGGGACTTAACCCGCTCAACTCTCTTCCTCTCCAGTCTCTGGTATGTCTTGAATATGGCCCACTGCGGCTTCCACCATGATGATTGTTGAAACCAACTGGTTTGCCTTAAATTTAAAATAATAATAGTAATTCCACACACAAAAAATACCCCTAATCCAAAAATGTGGGAGGGGAAAGTAGCCACTGGCTTGACTCTGAAGGTCACTCGCCTCTGCCAGAGCCCCTGGGTCACAGGCACTGGACTCACCTCCGTGAGTCCTTCGTGATTGGTTTGGAAAACAAAAGCCTCCACTCCGTCACCCTGTGATTGGGGCCAGATGTCGGCCTTTCTCCAGACTTCTCATAATTGGGGGGGGGGGGAAGACTGATGCTCCTGATTGGTTTTGGAGACTCCAAGTGGAGTCTCTCATGATTGACTGGGGAACTTCAACACTCCTGGAACAAAGCAGGTGCCTTGTGAGTGGCCTCCAGGCTCCAGCTAGAGGAAGAGCTGTGGGTCCCTTACGCCTCTGGCCACAGCAGCAGAAAGGTACAGTTGGGTGGTCAGGGCTCAGTTGCCCCGATAGACTTCAATCTTGCTGGCCTTGGCCAGCATGTCAATGATGTGGGCTTCAAAGTCCGCATCGTGTACCCCCGTCTTCCGGAACTCGCCAGCGTAGCGGTTATTCTCCCAGTAATGGTGCCAATTGCCTCGACTGTCCGCCCCAAACCCGTAAACGTTCACCTGTGATCAGAAGTAAAGAAGGCATGGGTCAGCCGAGGGACAGGAGCAGAGCTGAAAGCGTTTGGGTCAGGAATGGCCTGTTGGTCCAATCTTCTCCCTTCCAAAGGTCCTTGGATGGATAGTCTCATATCACCCACCTCGTGAACAGCCAGAAGTTTCAGTTAAGGAAAGACTTGCTGAGAGGAGGAATAGGCTCAAAGTGCCAGTGGAGATACTGGATACCTTGTATTAGGGGTCAATTTTAGCTACATAAAACAATGCCCGAAGCTCCAGGCCCTGAGTTCAAATCCAGATACTTACTAGCTGTGTGACCTTGGGCAAGTCCTCTCTCCTTGCCTCAGTTTCCTCATCTGTAAAATGAGGATAATAGCAGCACCTACCTCCCAGGGTTGCTATGAGAATCAAATGAGAAAACTATCATAAAATGCTTAGCCCAGTACCCAAGATACACAATGCACATAATAAGTGCTATATAAATGCTGGCTGTTATTATTATTAACCTATTTATTTAGTATCTTAGGGATTTTCAGTCTATGAACCAGGGAGAGATCAAAGTGAGTCAGTTTCTGCCTGATAATCTCCAAGAGGGATCTGGGAAGATCAGGATTTGGTCTTTGTTCCTAAATCTGGACCTTTCCTACCTCACAGGACTAGGGGAGGGAGGGTGCCCAAGGTCCCCTGGCTCACCTACCTCATCACACACGTGTAAAGCGAAGAAGAGCACCAGCATGCCTGTGGAAGGGTAGCGCCCGTGATGCTCTGTCCACCTGTCGTGAATATACTTGAAGAAGGCTGGGTTGTAGATCTGGACCTAGGACGTGAGAAGCCAACTGATCAGGAGAAAGCTGGGGAGGGGCGGGGTGTTTCCAAAGCCACAAGGATGCCTTCGGGCAGCTCTGGCCCCTTTACCAGCTGCTTCTAGTTGACCCTGGTAATTCCTGATGTCTGTAGTTGGACTTTATCCCTCATGAGGTAGGTGCTCGACATGGGACAACTGAAGGTTATCAATGGATAGGGGTCGAGGAGCCATCAGAAGCCCTCAAGTAGGTGTCCCATGGACTGGTTGCCTAGAACAGGCCAGGCACTTCTAGCATCAGAGATGTACCAACACTTTTTGCAAATAGGCCATCCCAGGATCTGATATCAAACTACTATTACAAAATGGGCAGCTAGGTGGCGCCACAGTGCACAGAGTGCTGGGCCTGGAGTCAGGGAAACCAAAGTTCAAATCCAGCCTCATACACTTACTACTGTGTGACCCATGGCAAGTCATTTGGCCATTGTCTGCCTCAGTTTCCTCATCTATCAAATGAGGATGATAATACCATCACCTCCCTCACAGGGTTGCTCAGCACAGTACCTGGCACATAATAAATGCTACACGTCAATATTTATTCCTTCCTCTTCCCCTCACCCCAAAGCCAAGGCAGCCTACCTTTTCCTTGTCCACTCGGAGAAAGGACTTCACAGGAGCATAGGTGCTGTAAACAGAGAGAAGGCCATACTTAACATGGTGTACAGCTTGCCCCATCTCAGAACTCTTCTGCCTTGGGAATCTCCCAATTCCAATGTGCCCTGCATATGCTGCCACATTAATCTTCCTCACTGGAATATTTTGTTGAATTGAGTAAATTACAGTTAAAGGGCTAGAAATCAAGAGCCCTGTCTCTGCTACTTATCCATTGCGCTCAGGAGCTCCCTTCCCTTGTTTTTCACCCAGCAGGTTACAGCTTGGAAGTGGTCCTAGGCCAACTAGCACTCTGGACCCTGCTCACCACCGACTTCTCCTTGGCCTTTCAGCTGAGTGTGCCAAGGATTCCAAGACCCAGACCCCAGGGTGAGAGGAACCCCCCCCCCCACCAGAAAACTTTTTAAAAACCTCATCCTCCCCATCCCCAAGGAGAAAGGCCTCACAATCGGATCTGTCCTGTGGACAAGGCACTGGCGATCCACAGCAAGTCCAGGGCCTTGAAGGGGACCAACACAAAGCTGACATTGGCAGGCAGGTTCTTGGCACTCTCTGGGTACATGAAGTGATGGGTGGTCCGGCTGCCAACATCTTGTTCAAAGCCCACTGTTGGGGCTTGGTTCATCCTGAGCGGGACAGAAGTTGGACAGAAAGCTTAGGCGATTGGCCTGAATTCCAGAATTCTCATACCTGGGCCCTTTCTTCTCCCTTTCTGAAGTGAAGGCGCAGAGAGATCTAACATACAAAAGCTTTAACGCGGCCTGCTCTTGAATCCTTGGTCTGGAAGGAACTGCTCTAACCAGCAGCCCAAGTCCAGCCAATTCATGGTCCAGGAACCATTTAACCATATTCCTAGGAGAGAAGAATTCCGTGCCTGGCTCCAGCCGTCTTTCACCCCAGTCCAGGCTCAGGCTCTCCTTCTAGACATCTGAACTCATCATCTCTCCCCTGGTTCCCAGCTTCTATTTTCAGTCCAGGTCTAATTTCCTTGGTTTCTTATGATGCCTAGCGCCTAATGAACTTAAAAAACCCTTCTCTTTTACTGACATCGGATACCTAACTACATGTTTCAGTTCCCTTTTCACTATCATTCTTTGAAACTCAGAGACATTTTGGCTCTCCTTGGAAAAGACAGAAAGGCATCTCTTGTCTACCCATTGCCAATTAACTGTTAAAATGTACGCATGTGGACATGAGCATGATTATTCATAGTTAAACTGACTATGGGGAACAGTTTGCCACCAGGCCGTAGTCAAGCAGGTGCATGGTGAGATGCCCAGGTGCAACCTTAGCTGGAGACGATGCTTGAACCAATGGATGAGGGATTCATCTTCATCTTTTTCTTTCTGATTAAGGAACAGGCTAGTAGGAAAAAGACTGCCTCAGGCCAGGGCCCAGGAAACCTGCTGAAGCCTTTGGATGAAGAAAAGTGCTATGTCAAGAGCAAAGATAAGGACTCCCTCCTAGAGGGCTAAAGAGAAACCACCAGCAGACCCGTCACATCAGGGGATGGAAAACATGATAGGTCAAAGAAACCCCAATATTCTGTTCTTAGGACTGCAGTGCAAGAGGGGGTTTCTATGTTAATATCTCCAGGATCTTCATTTTCTCTTGAGTACTCAGGCACCCAGCAGCACAGAGGGGTTTCAGATACCCCCGGTATTCTCTCCTAAAGTCACACCCTTGACTCTTGGCCACAGCATCAGTGGCCAGAGCCTCTATTCTCATGTCAGGCACACAGGACCCTCCTGGGACCATCTTAAATTCTATCTTCCCGGAAAACTCTCCTTCACACACTGAGCAGGTTTGGCCTTCCAAAACCCTGGGCAGAAAGAAGAGACAGAAGGGAGATGCAGCACACAGTAGGTGCTTAATAAATGCTTAAGGGCAGCTAGGCGGTACAATGGATAGAGTACCAGCCCTGGAGTCAGGAGGACCTTTGTTTAAATCTAGCCTCGGGCACTTACTAGCCATGTGACCCTGGGCAAGTCATTTAACCCTATTTATCTCAGTTTCCTCAAATGAGCTGGAGAAGGAAATGGCAAACCACTCCAGTATCTCTGCCAAGAAAACCCCAAATGGGTTCATAAAGAGTCAGACACAACTGAAATGCCTCCTGCTTACAGACCGACTGCCTGGAAACCCAATCACTCTCACTATTGCCATCCACTCACTTTAAAGAGACCATCTACAAATTACCCTTACCACCACATCCCCAGCCTCTCATTAGGTTTTACATCTGATGATTCCTCTGGGGCCCCAGTGCACATTCCCACACAGGAATAGTGAACAATTGAACATTTTGGTACAAGGCCTTCAGCTCAGTGGAGGAAAGGGCGGGGAGCTTCAGATCCTTTGGGAAATCTATTAGTGGTCCATCCTTACCCCCAAACTTTTCAGAGTTATTGCCCTCATGTGCAGGGTAATACGATCACAGGTCTAGCTGGACACAGAAGAGCCAGAAAGTATTTCAGAAGCTGCCTGGTTCAAGCTTTTGCTTTTATAAATGAAGAAATTGAAGCCCAGGGATTATGTCTCAAAGGTGGAATTTGAACCCAAGTTCTCTTACCTTTCCACAGGGCCACATTGCTTCCTGTATAATAAATTCAACCCACAGAAGAGGGTAGGCCAGGATTCTCAAAGTTTGTGCGTCTTGGCCGCTAGGTGGCGTTGTGGTTACAACAGTGTCCCTGGAGTTGGGAGGACCTGAGTTCAAATCCTGCTTCAGACACTCACTAGCTGTATGGCCCTGGGCAAGTCACTTGACTTCTCTCTGCCTTGGTTTCCTCATCTGTAAAGTTGGGACAATGATAGCACCAACTTCCTAGGGTGGTCGCGAGGATTAAACGAAATGACATGTAGCACTTTCCAAAAGGTGCTACATAAATACTGTTATTGTTATTATGTTGCCGAAGTTTCTGTAAAGTGTGCCACAAATTGTGTGGAATATCCCCTTCCAGTCAAATGTGCATGCCCAAGACTCCTGGCTCTCCTGAAAGTGTTCCTCTGGAAGAGAGAGTGAGGCTGGTGCAAAGTTTGCACGGCTCTGCCTCACTTAAATCCAATTCACTTGCAAGTCAAGACATCACCTCCTGACATCATCGGTCCTTTTCGAGAACGAAGTACGAACAACACAACAAGGAGTGTTCCCAACTTAAATGTTCAATGTGCAACAATTATTCACTAATAAAGTTTAAGAAATATTGGTGTAGGTTGATGTAATCATCCTAAGCCTGGGTCACTGGTCTTGAGTGCTCTTCACATGGGTAGCTAAGTGGCACTTGGAACCAGAAAGACTCATCTTCCCAAGTTCAAATCTGACCTCAGACACTTACTAGCTGTGTGACCCTGGGCAAGTTACTTCACCCTCTTTGCCTCAGTTTCCTTATCTGTAAAGTGAACTGGGGAAGGAAATGGCAAACCGCTCCGGTATCACTGCCAAGAAATCCTCAAATGGGGTTACAGAAAGTCAGACACGACTGAAAAATGACCAGACAACAGCAAACCTTCACTCTCCCTCTGGAAGGGAGCCCCAAAAGGGAAGAGTAGGGCCACAATCGTAACAAGTCTCTGAGCTCCAAGGCAGAGAGGGCTTTCTAAATACCCTGATTCACTCAAATGAACACTTTTCTGCCAGAGAAAATGGAGGCCCTTCTGTGTTCCCCTGAGTGAGGGGTAGTAGAGCCTCCGACAGATAGACGAGTTGCTGTCTTGGCGTTGCTATGGAAACAGAGCCCTGCAAAAGCCTCTAAGACAAGGCTCTTCCTCTCTCTTCCTGAGGAGCCCAGGCCTCCTAGGATGCCGATTCCAGGAGATGCCTGGAAGGAACAGGGAACTTTCAACCTATTTTTCCTTTTGGTTCCTCCTCTGCAGCCTCCCACTTTCTCTGGAGGCCTCGGTCTAACCCCAAAAGGAAAATAACAACTCAGGAGCAGATGGAAGGCACTGGGATTTTTTAAAAAATTTAAGGTTTGGAGGTAATTTTATTAAAAAATATTCAAATCTCTGCACATGTCTAACCTATAGCAAACTGCTTGCCTTCTCAATAAGGGGGAAGGGAGAGAGAAGGGAGAGAATTTGGAACTCAAAATTTTTAAAACAAATGTTAAAAATTGTTTTTACATGTAATTGGGAAAAAATAAAATATTTTAAAAAGTAAAATAAAATGTTCAAGTCTCAGGAAGAGAAAAGGACAAAAGTGTGTAATAAAGGGCATTGGCAGATGCTCTCAGTGGGACTCAGCAAGCAACACGCGATGGAGCAGCTGGCCCTTTTTAGCTAACCCTGCAGAGGCTTAGGGATTGGGCCCCAGCTCCTCTCAAGTCACAAAATGAACTGCTCATATCCGAACTGGGCAAATAGCCCAAAAAGCCAAAGGAAAAAAGGAAAGGCCCCATATGCACACAGGTATTCAGTGCGGCACTTTGTGCTATAGCAAAGAAACTCGATGGACTGTTATTGTGCCATAAGAAATGACAGCAGTGATGGATTCAGAGAAACCCAGGAAGACTTATATGAACTGATACAGGGTGAAGCAAGCAGAACCAAGAGAACAATTTATACAATAACAATGATAATGTAAAGGAAAACGACTTTGAAAGAATTAAGAACTCTAATCAATGCAATGATTAATCATAATTTCAGAAGAATGAGGGATGAGGTATGCTTCCTTACAGAGCTGGCAGACTAGGGGTACAAAGGGAAACATACATTTTTAGACACAGCCAATACGGGGAGCTGTTTTGTGTAACTTTGCTCACTTGTTAGAAGGAATTGTCATTGTTGTTTTTAAATTTTGTGGAGGGAAATTGAAGAGGGGAAGGGAAAGGAAGGGAGGAGACAGAGAAAGAAAGGGAAAGGAAGAAAGAAGAAAGAAAGAAGGAGGAAGGGAAGGGAGGGGAAGGGAAGGGAAGGGAGGGGAAGGGAAGGGAAGGGAAGGGAAGGGAAGGGAAGGGAAGGAAGGGAAGGGAAGGAAGGAAGGAAGGAAGGAAGGAAGGAAGGAAGGAAGGGAAAGTAGAACCAACAAAAAAAACCTTAAAAAAAATGAAGGACTTTCAATATACAAGTCCAGTTTCCATCTTGGGTAGTTTCCAGTGGGGAGGAGGGATGGGGAGGGTGGGAGGGGATGCAGGGCTCTTTAGAATCCAGCTGTCCCCTTCCCTTTCCTAATGGCCCTACTTGCCTGGCACACACATGCCTGCACATTTGGAGCCAGCTGTCCTGTCCCTCTACTTCACCAGTCTCAGGCACATGCGCCTGGATCCCACTGTCCATGATGGGAAAGCTCACCTCATGATAAAGTTGTGTCCATCTACATCCCTCCCATAGCCAGAGCCACGCAGATTGCCTGAGTTTCCAACTACGGCACAGCGCCGGCACTTGTGGGGGTCCCGGAAGCGGTAGGGGTTCTCCCCTGGCACAATCTGGAACAGCTTCTCCAGCACCTCATTGGTGTTGTGTGACTTGAACTGGGGTTGCAGCATCTGTGCAGAGGGAAGACAAAGGGGAGAAGCCTGAGGAGGAAGGCCAAACCTCAGGGCAGGGTGCTGAGGTTTCTGTCTGCCCTGAACCTCCAGCCATGTCTGGCGCCCAGAGCCTCCTAATTTGGCATTCTACCTAGGCCTCCTCCTTCACAGGCCACGCCAAATACCTTCCCCTCCCTCATTAGCATTCACCTGCCCTTGTATCCCATTCCTTCTTGGGCCCCTGCTCTCTTCTGATAAACTACTCACTGATGTGTTAGTGAGTTAATGTGCTACTCATTACCGGGTAATGCGTTGGCATTGGAACAGGGATCTTAAGCCAATTTCAGACACCAGTCTCAATGTCACTCAGATCACATGAGCAGGAAACCCTCTATTCTATCTATTCCTTCGGCCAGCCTTGAAGGCCTGCAATGCCCCAGTGCTACACAGGAGAGAGAAGTTGGATAGATTTTGGGTGCTCCTTCCCAAAGCCTACAGAAGGTGCTCCAGGCTGGTCCCTAGGTACAGAGTGAGCTCTAAAAGCATGAAAAGGGAGGAAAAGGACGGGCAGATCAAGAGATCCCCTGGGAGAGCACCTCAGGACCCGTGGCTGACCCAGAGGCTTGAAGCCACAAGGCAGGGGCAGGTGCCGGGCAGAATCTAGGCTCTGAAGCTTGGGGCATGATTATCCATCGGGAGAGGGACCTGACCATACAACCAATTACTTGAGCTTAGCACTGAACTTAAAAAAGTAATTGAAGCTGGTTCTTTAATTTGCACGAGAAACTGAACTTAAGTTTCTTTTTTGGTGGGGGAGGGAGAATGGGAGGGCAATCGGGGTAAAGTGACTTGCCCAGGATCACCCAACTAGTAAGTGTCTAAGGCTGGATTTGAACTCAGGGTTTCCTGATTCCAGGGCCAGCACTCTATCCACTGTCCACCTAGCTGCCTCACTGAACTTATTTCTCCTAAAACTGTCAAACCCAAACATCAAAATAAGGTAGGAACCAAGCTTGTACTTCCAGAGCTGCCAGGACACCTTCAGTAGATGGGGGCTGGGCCACCAGGAAGAGCCTAGGAAATAAGGGGGCAGGGGAATTTGGCTGAATTCCTCTCAGAACACTAGGGAGGAGGCGGGGGCGGGGCTGTCAGGGACACGCGAGAATGATTCAAGAGCTCGAGGAATGGACTTAGGAACAAGAAAATGAACTCAGTCTGGAGAGAGAGCTTGGCTCTGAGTCAGGAATTCCTGAGCTTGGGGGGATGGGGGAGGAGGGACCAGGCCCCATTGAGAAGCATTTGAGACAGGGCATGTTTGGTGGTTAATCGCCTGCTCAGAATTCATTAAGAGGCGGTGGAGCCCAGGGCTGTCCACCCATGCTGGGGGAGCCATTTTCTCCAGGCCCTTCTATGCCACAACCCGGCAGTGGGATCGTGGGGCAACTCCCTGGTCCCCTGGGGGCCTCAGTTATATCCTATTAAGCAAGGATCCCGATGGTGGACACCAGGCGATGTCATAAAGGGCTCTGAGCGGTCAAGACCACAGATGCCGTCACGTGCCCACTGATCCCTGCCTCTCATAGCCTCGGTCATTAGCGGCGTTCGGACTCGCCCTCCCACCCTACCCCCTCCGTCACACTGACACTGCTTGTAATTCTGCCCCCTTGCAAGAGAAGAGTAGGGAGACAGGTTTTTCTCTTCTTTGAGTTTGGAGTCTGAATTCAAATCTTGCCTCTGCTATTTACCTTGACCCTGGGCAAGCCAAAGTCTCTCAGCCTCAGTTTCTCCATTTGAAAACAGGGATAATAGCTAGCATTCATATAAGATTTTGTGGTTTGCAAATGTTATTTTGTTTCATCCTCACAACCATCCTGTGACGGCTAGCCGGCACAATGGGTAGAGCGCTGGGCTTGGAATCGGGAAGACTCAGTCCCTGTTCTCAAAGAGTTTAGTGTGATGGGGAAGCAACATGCAATCAGCTATGTTTGTACATATGCTAGGACAGAATGCAGACGGATGAACTGGGAGGAGCGTCAGAGAGAAGGCACTCAGATTACGACTGTCTGGGAAAGGTTTCTCGCAGAAGATTAGCTGGGACTTGGAAGCGTGGGAAGACATTAGGCAGAGATGAGGAAAGACAGCATTGCAAGCATAAGGAACAAGTGGAGGAAATGCTGAGGGTCATGAGACGGAAGAACAGAGAGATCAGTGTCCTATGGTAGGGCTGGAAAGGTAGGGGGAGGGGCCAGGTTACGAGGGTTTGGAAAGCCAAACAGGTTTTATAAGTGGGCAAAAGGGGCCCTTGCGGGGGAGGAGTGACATGGTCAGATCTGTGATTTAGGGCCTGAATGGAAGATGACCTAGAGCAGAGACTCGAACCCAGAGGGACACTGCCGCTGTCCAAGCATGAGGTGACAAGGGCCTGCATAGTGTCAGAGGAGAAAGGGGGGGAGTATACAGAGGTAAAATGGACGGTACTGTGTGATAGTTTTGTTTTTGGTTTTTTGGTGGGGGAGACTGGGGCAAAGTGACTTGCCCAGAGTCACACAGCCAGTGAGTGTTATGTGTCTGAGGCCACATTTGAACTCAGGTCCTCCTGATTCCACGACCTTTGCTCTATCCACTGTGCTACCTAGCTGCCCCTGTAATAGTTTTGATATGTAGTGTGAGATAGTGGGGAATCCAGTATGCTCTTAATATATGAGAAGACCAGCTAGCAGAGGACAACAGTGTCCTTGCCAGAATTAGGAAGGTGGGGATGTCAGGGGAGTATTTTTTGCGGGGAAGGAGGGTAAAATGGTATCAAATTCAAATAGAAATAAGGGACATAAGGATCCGTGTGAGCCACACAGTGACTAAGAAAGCCACATTTTAAAGTTACCTGTGTTCTAGTGTATTGGGGTAGGGGCAGATAGATGGCACGGCGGCTACAGCCCCAGGCCTGGGGTCAGGAAGACTCATCTTTCTGAGTTCAAATCTGGCCTCAGACACTTTCTAGTTGTGTGACCCTGGGCAAGTCACTTACCCCTGTTTGCCTCAGTTTCCTCATCTGGAAAATGAACAGGAGAAGGAATGGCAAACCACTCTAGTTTCTTTGCCAAGAACACCCCAAATGAGGTCATGGAGAGTCAGGAATGACTGAAAAATAACTGAAAAAACAATTTAAGCTTCAATGTAAAGGAAACCAGGATTCTCCGAGGCAGAGGTTAGGATAAATAGCACAGAGAAAGAGGGGCAGCTAGATGGTGCAGTGGATAGAGCACCGGCCTTGGAGTCAGGAGGACCCAAGTTCAAATCCAGTCTCAGACCAGACACTTGACACTTAATAGCTGTGTGACCCTGGGCAAGTCACTTAACCCCAGTTGCCTCACACACAAAAAAAAACAAAACACAAGAAAGAAAGAGAAGAGGGTGAGAAGGTCCAGGTGGGTCTAAGGTCTTCCTTGCCTAGGATTCAGTACCCCTAGGTAGTCCTTCCCTTCCACCCCATCCTAGGGTCTGGGAGGTTTGAAAATGCTTCCAATTAAAGCTGCTGAGATATCTTTTCACAACTTGTCTTCAAAGTTCTTAGCAGTCTGGAGTGAGAGCACTGGAACCCTAAAGTGGTTCCTCCCTGGGCTAGCATCTCACTGGTGACGTGGGCCTTGACTCAGCCTAGATGGGAAGAGATACCCTTGGGCCTGGAGGGTTCAGCTCCAGCAGGGGGCCTCCACTTAGCTTGGCGACCTGGAGTCCCAACCCAGGCCTGCTTTCATCTCATCCTATACAGGCCACTGACCTGATGACCTGAATTGGACCAGCCGCTTTCTCCACCCTCACCCCTTCTACACCCTGATTTTTGTCCACGTACCAAGCTCTGGAGCAGATTTAGTGGGAACTTGAGAAGGCCCCAATAAGAGAAGATTCCATTCCATTCCATTCAGTTAAATAATTCAACAAAAAATGCCTACTAGGTGCAAGGCAGCTTGCTAACTAAAAATGGAACTCTGCCCTCCAGAAGCTTCCATTCTGCCAGCCTGGCTATAACACGTACCAGAGAAAGAAAGCCAGTCCCTTACCATCCACCACCGCTGGACATCTAAGGGGAGATCCATGTTCTCTTTGGTCCAGACAGGGGAAATGTTGCCATCATAGTGACTGTCAAACCAGTCGGAGGCCCCCGTGTCCCCCATGCAGCGACGACAGGCACAGCTCTTACTCAGGAGACCCCCCTTGTTGAGCCGCTGCAGGCCGGCGTAGCTCGGCACCAGCTTTACCCGGTGCGTGCTGCTCAGGCCTCCGGAGTCCAGGTAGGGCAGGGTGGCCATGCTGTGGTGGGAGTAGGTGAAGAGGAGCGACATGACAAAGACCAGTAGGAAGGCCGTGGAGAGAAACCAGAAACGCAGGGAGCACTTCATGGCTTGGCCGAGGGGTGCGGGACCCCCTGTGGGGGCGGGGGTCACCGGGGTCCCTCCCTCACCAGCTGGCCCCAGCGCTGCCCACCTGGTCTGGCTCCACAAAGAAAGAGCATAGAGGCCCAAGCCGCGATAAGGAAGGGAGAGGCCAACGGGGGGGAAACCCCCTTCTCTCCCTCAGAGGTGAGAGAAAACAAATCAGGCAATTGTGGCTTCCTGCCACTGAGACTCTGGTGGCAGCTTCCTCCGGACCTGCCACTAGCTGGGCCACAGGGGCTGTGCGTCTCCAGCCCCCCCACTGAGGGGGAGGTCAGTCCATCCTAGCCCTCTAGTCCCTCGGGATTGCTGGGGACCAGCTCTGGGAAACCTCCTCTTTGGTGATTTGGAATAGTCCAGTCTGGGGCAGCCGGGGTCCTTGTGGCTCATGGGCAGACTCTGAGGCTGTCCCTCCCTCCCCTGCTGTAGGGGAGCTTGCTCTGTCCCCCTGGGGAAACCAAGGATTCCAACCAGAACAGAAGCTCCCCAAGTGGGATGGGGTGTGTGGAGAAGGGCACAAAGAGGCGTCAGGAACCAGAGAGGTGGCCCCGAGGTCACTTGGGCAAGAAGAGGGGAGGACCAGGACCTTGATTCTTAGAGGACAGAGGGAAAAAACCCCCAACCTCAGCAGGCTGACAAGCTTTCAAGGACACTCAGTGGAGGGTGACGACGTTCCATGCTACCTCAGAACTTGCCCTGTCCTTCTCCACTGAAGCCTCACCACCTCTGAGGCTGCAAGCTCCTTGGCCCGGGTTGCCCAAGCCACTGCAAAGGATCATTCCAGAGGCGAGGCTCCTTGGAGCTAAGAAACAGCTGCAAGCCAGCTGCCGGGCTCCCCCCTGTTAGTGGCAGACGTGCTGGACGCCCCTGTGCTCTCTCCTCCGTCTTCTTCCCAGCAGCGCTGGCTGGGGTTCAGCTGCCCCTCTGCCCATTCCTGCTCCCCGGGGGCTGTGTACTCAGCTGGAGGGCTTTCAGTAAACTCCTGGCAGCCTCTGCCGGTCAGAACAGGGTCTGCTGAAACTGCAGAGAAGAAAAACACCGATGTACAGATAACACTCTTTGCTACCACCTGCACTGCCCTCTCGTTGCCCCAGCCCCCACCCCCACCCCCCACTGCCAGTCCATGTTGTTGTTCAGTCTTGCCTGACTCTTCATGGTTTTCTTGGCAGAGATACTGGAGTGGTTTGCCATTGCCTTCTCCAGTTCATTTTACCAATGAGGAAACTGAGGCGAACAGGGTGAAGTGACTTGCCCAGGGTCATATAGCTAATAAGTGTCTGAGGCCAGATTTGAACTCATGAATTTTGAAATTTGAACTCCCCAGTGTGGTACAATGGTTAGGGGCTAGGTTTGGAGCCAGGAAGACCTGGGTTCAAATCCTGTCTCAGACATTTACTACCTGTGAGTCACTTAAATGCTCTGTGCCTCAGTTTCCTCATCCATAATTTTTTTTTAGGCAATTGGGGTTAAGTGACTTGCCCAGGGTCACACAGCTAGTAAGTATCAAGTGTTTGGTCTGAGGCCGGATTTGAACTCAGGTACTTCTGACTTCAGGGCCAGTGCTCTATCCACTGTGCCACCTAGCTGCCCCCCTCCATAAAATTAGTGGCTCATATCAGATGGCTTCTAAATCCCTTCCAGTTCTAAATCTATGACCCAAAGAAAAAAATTAACATGGAGGGTGGAGCCCCCTAAATCACATAGGGGTCATACTAGAAATAGATCCCATCTCCCTTTATATTAACTATGACATTATCTGCATCTCGCCAATTCGTAAAATAAGTCCTGAAGAAGTTAAATGCCATGTCTGAGGTCACACAGAAAGACACTGGCAGAGCTTAGATTAGGCAGAGAGAGTGATCAATAGAGTATTAATGATTATTATTACTATGTGCTGGGCACTGTGCTACATTAGCTATTTCATTGCTTAGAATAAAAGGGTCCCTAGATGACAAGTGATCACTTGTGACCATTTCCAACTGCTCCAGGATCTGTGTGTTTTGGGGAGGGGCCCCCCAGTGAGGGAAGAGAGTCGGGGCTGGTCCAACCCAATAGGTCTCTCCATTTGCTTTTTTTTTTCTTGGAAGATCTTCATTTTTTTTTCCAGTTTTTTTTTAAATAGCATTTTTTTCCAATTACATATAAAGACAAATTTTTATCACTTTGTGGGGTTTTTTTGTAATTTTATTTTAAACTTAAATACAAAATGAGAAAAGAAAAAAAAACATTGCCTTATACACAGCAGACCATGAGAGGATTCAATAGAAAACAATAAATTTCCATTTCAAGAAAACCTATATAATAAAGACTGCGCAGTTTTCAAAGCTGCCCAGCTTTTCTTTGCTTCCTTGTTGGTTTTCTTTTGTTCTCTGCTGTGCACTTTTTGCTATGATAACTTCTTGTAACATTGTATGAAGATCCTTTTTTTTTTTTATCATAATCTTCAGGTAATCCGACTGTTCTTATGTTATTTTTCCTCAATCTGTTCTCCAGATCAGTTGTTTTTCTGATGAGGTGTTTCACTTTCTCTTCTATTTTTTCATTTTTAAAATTTTGTTTTATGATTTCTTGGTGTCTTACAATGCCATTTGTTTCCCTTTGTTCAATTCTAGTTTTCAAGGAATTATTTTCTTCTTTAAATTTTTGATTCTCTATTTCAAGTTGGTTGACTTTCTTTTCATAATTTTCTTGGTTTTCTTAGATTGCTCTTATTTTTTTCTCTAAATTTTTCCTCGATCTCTCTTATTTGAATTTTAAAGTCCTTTTAAAGTTCTTCCAAGAACTCTTCTTGTACTTGGGACCATTTGACATTTCTCGTGGAAAACGGAATGGCTTTTTTTTTAGCTCCATTATCTTCCTCTGAATATGAACCCAGATCTTCTCTATCCCCATAGTAACTATCTATGGTTGAGTTCTTTCTCCTTTGCTTACTCATTTTTCATTTAATTAGTTAGTTTTTTAGCAGCTATGAGTGTAATTAAGTTGTAGTCCTGAGGTATGGAGAATGAAGCCCCAAGTCTCAGGTCCTTCTTACTGTTATTTTCTGAGGTCTGTCTTGGGGTCCAACCTTGGGCTCTCCTCTCCTAAGCTACCGTTAGGGCCCCCAGCCACACTGTCCCGAAGATGATTTTGCTTCCCTGCAGTCCCTCCAGTGGCTACAAACTACAGCTGTCCTCTCTGCCCTGGAACTGAAACCGGGAACTCTGCTCTCCCAGGAGTGCCCACAGCCGACAGGGTCCTGGCACCTTGCTACTGCACTCACCAGGTGTGTGCTAGCTCCTTCTCCCTGTAGCCACAGCCCTGGATGCTGGTCAGCACAACTGTGTTTGACATCCCTGACAGAAGAAGGTCCTTCAGTCTCCTACTTAGCCATTAGGACGCCCCACTCCCAACACTGTCTGCAAAATCAAAGTTTTGAAGGCTGAGGCTGCCTCTCCACCCAACTGCCCCCAGGGCTTGTTCTTTGTTGAACTGACGGAGTGGCTGGAGGTGTTTGTACTTCACTGTGCCAGACCAGTCTTTCCTGGGATCTTCTCAAATTGTCTTAGGAGGACACTTTCTGCTGCTCTGACACGATGTTCTATCTTATTTTATGGAGGAGATTTGGAGAGCCAAAAGTTTTCTGACCTACTCTGCCATCTTCCCAGAATCCTCTCCTTCATTTGCTTTTGACAGAAGTTTTGAGGCTGTAGTCACAGTTTCCTGGGTCATGCTGGAGGCTAGAGGGTAGACCACAGCACCACCAAATCAGATTCAAACAGACTTCTTTTATGATTTTAATGGGTTGTGGTGTTAATTTTTTAAAAAAGAAATCTAGAAACACATGTGGTTTTCTAAGTCAATCTGTCGCTGTCAGGCATCCTTACAGATAGTTCAGTGACCCGTTTCTATCTGAGTTTGTTCCCCAGCTCCTCTGCCGAGCTGCACTGGGGACAGGCAGGGGGGCTCCTGGAAGTCACAGTTGACATCTATGCTAAGCACAGGTGAGTGGACTGGGAAAAGATTCCAGGCTGGTCTCCCAGCCCTCTGTTTCCTTCCCTTGAACTCCCCGCCATGGTGTTCACCTTGATTTTCTGGTATCAGACCCTCAGCCTCAGCCTTTCTTCATAAACTCCACTGACTCCATGCCAAATTCCCAGACAACTGTGTGTCTCAGGGCCTCCCTCTCCTAGTTACGCCACTGATCAGAGTACAGCCCAGTCATCGGCTGCAGCCCAGCTCAGTCAAGGAGCCAGGGCATACCCAGAAGCCAATCTCCCACCTCCAGGCATGCTGCAGCACACATCCCCTGCATGCAGCCCAAAGAATTTCCTCTTTCTCTGGGTGGAGGCCGGTAAAGAGAAAAGAAGAAACCATTTTCCAAGAAACAAAAGACCAGACTGCCTAAATGTCACCAAGCTAGAACCCGTGCCTAGAACTCTCATCTTCTCAGACCATGTTTCAAGTTTTCCCTTTGGACAAACTCATTCATTCAACCGTGATGATGACAGCAGATTTAGAGCCAGCAAAGACTCTTGGGGTCATTTACTCCAGCTCACTCATTCGACAAATGAGGAAACTAAGGCCCAGGGACTTCTTGGATGGCTGGGGGCACCATAGTGCACAGAGCCCCAGGCCTGGAGTCAGGAAGACTCGTTTTTGTGAGTTCAAATCTGGCCTCAGACACTTACTAGCTGTGTGACCCTGGGCAAGTCACTTTACCCTGTCTGCCTCAGTTTCCTCATCTGTAAAATGAGCTGGAGAAGGAAATGGCAAACCACTCCAGTATCTTTGCCAAGAAAACCCCAAATAGGGTCACAAAGAGTCAGAAATAACTGAAATGACCGAACTGAGCTGAAGGTCTAATGAGGTTAAATGCTTTGACCAAAGTCACACTGAGAGCAAAAAGCAGAGCTGAGATGTGAACCAAGTTCCAACCATTAAGTAAGGTGAAAGATGGAAAGATGACAAATACCTGAGACATATTACAAAGGGCAAAACTGCCCCAAGGACGAGATCAAGAAAACATGAATAACTACCAATCCTGGGCCTCTTTTCTCTACTCTGTAAATTACTTTCGAGAATAATCTACATATCCGTACCCTTTCCCAATCCTCCTCAATTCAAGTGCCTTCCCTGGGATTTTCTCCAATTTATCTTGTAGATGTCTTGTTTCTACATTAGTTATTTACATATCGTCTCCCCCATTAGAATGCAAGCTCTCAGAGGGCAGAGATTGTGTCTTGCCTTTCTATGTATTCCCACTGCTTAGCACAGAGCCTGGCACATAGTACTTTGTTGTTATGCAGTCATTTCAGTCATGTCTGACTCTTCCTTTTCGGCAAAGATACTGGAGTGGTTTGCCATTTGCTTCTCCAACTCACTTTACAGATGAGGAACTGAGGTAAACTGGGTGAAGTGACTTGCCTAGGGTCACACAGCCAGTAAGTATCTGAGGCTGGATTTGAACTCGGGGAGATGAGTCTTTCTGGCTCCAGGCCCTGCACTCTATTCCACAATGCCACCTAGCTGCCCCTGGTACTTAATCAGTGCTTCTTGACAACAGATATTTCTTAATGAAAATATGAAAGGGGAAAAGACAGGCTTTCCCAAATTAATTCCTCAAGCAGACCATATCTTCACAGTCACACACAACTGACTGAAAGACGCAGAGAATACAGCATCCCACCATGTTGATTGTTCATTGATTTTTGAAAAACTGTATCAGCAAAATGCAGCCTTAAGAGCCCTCCTTCAACAAAGAGTCTCATGCATATGTTAAAATCATAGACGATTCCTTGACGGATGCGACCGCAGAGACAGCTTTGTTCAAGGATCCTCTTAAGTATAAAGCAGGGAGATGTAATTTTACCAAAGAGGCCTCTGTTAATTGCTAAAGGTACCCTACGCAGAGAGCACACAGAAGAAGAGATTCCTCAACAGAACCTTTTGGTGTGTGTAATTATGGATGCCTCTCACCACGGGCTGGTGAAATGTATGGAGCCCTTCTCCATGGGAAAAAATGCATAAAACAAAGTACA